AACTTTTTTACTGGCTATTGGTACCGGTGCGAACGGTTTTTTTGGAATTCCAGTAAATCGCCCAATAAAATTATTGGGATCTGAGAACTGCTGGCACCGGTGCAGATGCTCTAACACTGTAAATCTTCCCCGACCAGCCCCTAAGGGGTAAGGGCTGGTCGGGAAGATTTAAGTTTAGCAGTAAGCTTAACTGTATAATAAGCTTATTTATTCTCAAAAGGCGAATACGATAATTCCTATCCAAACATCGGAGAGCCCTATCACGAATCGCCATGATTGGCTAATCCGAAGCTTTGTTTCATTAATTGGCTGAGTACCGTATGCTTGCTGCGGAATGAAAATTAGCTGATCAAATGGTCTGTAATATTAATACCCTACCGAATTGGGAAATTTGTAGAGCTATCTTCCCTCTAACATTATAACTGAATATTTGTAGATTTTTCCAAAAAATTCGCACTACGTCATGAGGTATGGCCAAAAATCTACGAGGTCAAAATGAGGGCAAGAATTGATCAGTGCATTCTTTTGACAGGGATATATTGTGCTTTCGAGTGAATGTCGATGTCGAATGTCGTGTTGTGGCGTGGTTTCTCGTTGGAATTTAAATCGATTTGATTGGCTACTTCAGATGAGCTCAAACGTTTTAGCTAATCAAAACCTTCTCAATGAAATTCAACCAATCAGATCGATTGTGGATCGGTTTGGTCGGCGCGATTCGATTGCACCCCCTCCCCAAATTTGTATCAAATCGACAATCTTGTTGTGTTTATTCTAAACTGGAGCGACATGGGGAATGGAATTGACACAACCAAATGGACACAAGAATCGGCAGAAGGGTTTAGCCAATCATATTGTCGGAAACCTCATCAACGTCGAATTAGTGTGCGGCTCCAACTACTGTAGTGTGATGATACCAATCACCACAGACACCTTTTTACATGCAAAATTCAGTACAAAGAATCGATCGATAGATTTGGTGATTCTGCAAAAAAGGACAATATTGTCAAATCGATTCGAAAAAAGCTGGAGCCCTCAGCAGAATCAAATGTCTTAGGAGCATCGATTAGAGAACGGCCTGAGCCAATCAAATCACGTCATGTCGAAATTCTGCTTACTGTTAATCCAAACGTTGACCCACCACATTGGGCAAACCCACATATATACTAATCTTTGTATAGTATAGTGTGTGAAAGATCAAATAGATTCGAAAGCTAACGTTATTTGGCGAAATGGATGAAATGCACACTATATATTCTCCACGTCGCCATGATCAAATAAATATTAATACTGCGGAAATAGTATTCATATTACTAGTACTACTGTACTACTACTATTTATAGTATAGTACTGTATGCTGGCTGTTACCATAGCCAATTCAACATATTTTTTATTATTACTCCGGAGTATATTTTGTAGATCGCGTAGCTCTCATGTTAATGGGACCAACATTCAGTATGTCGAGGCATGGATGGTACTGGACCACCTGACGTCACCAGCAAAGTGGACGGCAACCCGTACATGATCTAGGACGAACACATAGAGCGGGGCCACGCCACAACCAAGCCAGCAAAACGTCGGCACTACTCTAATACAATGGCGCGATGGTGGTTATTGATATGGCCATGGTATGAAGTTCAGGATCATGCATAGTATGTACATATAGTTAGTTGGTTGTGTTAATCATCCCGTCGTGCGGAATTAACTAATTTGGGGCACGCAAGACGGTGGCGTGGAAACCAACGGCGTCGACGGCATCAACGAGTACTCCCCTTGCGTCGGAAGTGGACGCCAGCACGTACACGCATTTGTCGTTCATGTCCACGTACACTTGGTCCACTCCGTCAATTCCTTCGAGGGCGCGCTGGACCGTCGACCCGCAGTTGGCCATGCACTTCATCTGGGGCACATACAGCACAAATAGGTCCTCCAGGCGTTGGAAGCGCCACGGCGCCACGGGCCCGCCGCCCGCCGCTGGATCGGACGTCTTGCTGGGCTTGGTGACGGCAACGTCCTTGGTGCGTTTGCTCTCCTTGAACCACATGTAGCCCACGCCAAAGCCAAAAATGAGCGATACAAACAGCCCCGTATCGTAGATCATGACCACAAGCATGGCAAAGTACGCCAACGTCATTTGGCCCATGTACAGCACCGTCAACGTCAGTTTGTGCAGTCGTTTCGTGGACGTACTACGTACCAGCACCACACAAATCATTGGATGAATATATTTATATATATATATCGTATCTGGAAAGACAACGTATTCGATCCACAAGCGTCAACCACCCAATGGGTCCGATCCATTCAAAAAGCCGCCTCGTCCCACATATCATTATTGCACGAGTGTCTCGTCACATATATCATTCTTCCAACGGTGCCTCGTCACATACATGCAATATCATTTATCACATGCACCACCAAGGCCCAAGGCGAAAGATGTATAACATGCCATTTACATCATCGATCGACAAGTGTCAACCACTTGTCAATAAGGGCTCCCTCGTTATATATATATAATATCATACCAAGGGCAAACATATATCATTTATATCCATACCTTGTGGTGGGCCGTTGGCGAAAGCTCTGGCGAAGGCTTTCACGGGTGTGCACCAGCCCTTCGTTCAGGAGCGGCAGCAAAAACACGCCGATAAAGCCGAGCGCGTATTTGAGCTGGCTATTGAGCACCCAGGGCTGGAAAAGGAGCTTGACGCATGTGCCATGGACTGTGGTTTGGAAGCCCGAGAACATGGCGGACGACCCCGAGCAGAACGGCTCGCCGTTGCTTCCCTGGCCAGTGCTGCCGCGAAGCGACGTGGGGGCGGGAGTGTCCACAACGACAGGAACTTCTTGGAAGCTGTCGGGGCAGGCCACGCCGTTGCACGTAAGCGTGTTGACCCCAAAGTACTAGCGACGAGAGGAGGGAGGGTGAGTCAAGGTAGTTTCATCATGGATATGGACACGGAAGATACCGATTTGGACAAGGCGCCGCTCGTAAACGTGGCTTTGGAAGTGTCCGACTCAAAGTAGATCTTTTGGCCTTTCTTTAGGCACAGGTACGTAAACTTGGCCGACGTGATCTTGGTGCCCGTGATGGGGTCCAGCACTGGCGTCGTGGGGTCGTCGCATTCTGGGCATGTGGCATTGCATCCAGTGCCGTCAGGGACGATCAACGATCCCTACACGAAAACATACATGGTGTGAACACACGCAATCATGGGCGAATGTTGTGATGAGTACCAAGGTGGCGCCGACCAACGACGGATGCGAGAACGAGTTTTTGCCGCGCGAGAACTGTGTGCCGTTCGTCATGCCACATGTATAGATGCGCTGACCGTTCTTGAGTTCCGTGAACCACGTCAAGTTGTCGTCCTTAACGTACATATTGCAAAGGGGGCAGTGCTTGTCGTCGTGGATGCCTGCAGCGGCCGTGGCCTGCGCAGCATGCGCGGCGTGGGAGGCATGCGCGTCCGTCGAAGGGAGTGTCGCAAGGACGACGAATGCCACTGCGGCAGAGACAATGCCAAGAAAGCGCATCATGTACTCGTGACGACGACTTGTTGAGATATGTGAGAAGTCGCCGCAATAATGGACGATGAAGGTGTACAGTACAATGTTGAATTCGATGGAGTGAACTCTAGCCTGGTATTGTAAGTTGGCCAATGGGACGCGAGCAATCATTCAAGTGACCCATTGGACCTTGTATATTCAAGTCAAAACTTCGCTGTGTACGAAACTAATTTGGATTCTACCATACACCTAGTTTCTACACCAGTCACTTGACTCGATCGGCCGGTTCAACAATTTCTGAAGGGTGCAGTCAACCAAAATAATAGCCAGAATGGCGCTGAATGCACACAAAGCCTTCCAGCCATACGCAAGGACGGTCTTCACGCCCTAACACGGGAGCTCCCTGGCAAAGGCCGACGTAGTCGCCGCTGTGGCATTACACTGAGGGGTCCTGGTATGTACTATCATTCCCAAGATCCCAATAGTGCTGCAATTGTTGACACGGCCGTTTCAATAATCCCTTTGGGTGACGTTTATGGTGGCAATATGTGTCCAGTAAGGTCGATGCGTATTAAAGATGTGGCGCGTGATCTTCAAGATCGAGTGCCCAAGTATGATCATGATATTCTCGACATGGAGAAGGGGGCAAGGGTGATGGATGGGGTCGTGCGTGGCCTGCGTTTTTTGCTCTTCAAGTCAAAGGGATGGCAATTGTTGACACTGCGTGCAGAAGAATAGATTGAAATGTGTTGGGATTTGTATCACAAATATTACTATTTTTTTCCATTTTTCTCAGAGATGTGGTATCCGGATGAACTTTGCCTTGAGCGTTCGACACTACACAATAGTACTTTGCCACAAGCATCACGAGCATGGCGGCGTTCCCACTGCGATGGCTCTTGGCGCTCTTCGTCTGGACATGCATGTTCGGCGCCGTCTCGGCTGACCAGGATCTCCGGGAGACGCGATGTCCCTTGTGTGATATGGACGTGATTCCGTCGCTCAACCAGACCATCAAAGGCAACCAAGCGATTTATGCTTGCGAAATGGCAGGCCATCTCGACACCCTGCGCGACCCCGCGGTATGAAGTGCTCATCGATACCTTCGTCGTCTCCTTCATACTGATCGACGTATCCTAGAGCAAAATCTTGCGTGGGGCTGTGGCCGTGACGGCGCTGGACGTGCCGTACACCAACGCGGGAATGGCCTGCCCTGTCTGCGGCAAGACCGAGCTCAAGTACGCCTTGCCATGGGGGAACCGTGGCAACCAAAAGATCTTTACCTGCTCTGAAGAACACGCGCATCTCATCGCCGCCAACCAGGTGTGTATGTGTGCAGCATCTCAAGGCGTATTATCTATGGATGGTCTCATCTACGTATCAGGAAGCATACTACGAAGGCACCACCCCATCCCACAGCGGCGAATTCTGCGACCACGCGTCCGTCATGTTTGACGGGTTCCAGTCGTCGATTGGCCGCACCTGTGTCAAGCTGTGGTTCCAGCCGTGGGTGTTGTCGTCGGGGGTGAGCTACGCGCTGGGATTTGTGGGCATTGTGCTGCTTGGCATCTTCCTCGAATGGTTTGGCGAGTATCGCGAAGGCATGGAGGAGTTGTTCATTCGGAACTACGGCATCACGGACACATCGAACGTCCTCGCCGACCAGACCTACCCCAAGACCGCCATGACGACGTTGATTCCGTCGACCCCCGGCGGCATCCAGACCGTCACGACGTGCACGCTGCCGACGTGGTGCACCGTCGCCTTGACCTGCATGTACATGCTGGCACTGGTCGTCGGGTACATGATCATGCTCGTGGCTATGGTGTACGACTCGGGGCTGTTTGTCGCGTGCATCCTTGGGCTAGGCATTGGCTTCTACCTCTTCAAAGACACGGAAGCCGACTCGATGAGTGGCAACATCGATCCGTGTTGTTCCACTTGAATCAGACTACTACTAACTACGACGATGACTATTAATACTATCGACCAATGCCTACAGCTACCTACTAGTACTACTGTACAACTATACTACAGTACTACGTAGTAGTTGAACTACTACAGTACTACTAACACTACTGTAGTCTCCGTCCGCATTTCGACTAACGTTACTATCAATATTAATACTGTTAATATAGAATTAATAGTATTTGTATTATTAATATTATTATATTATTGTATTAATACTACTACTACTACTACTACTATTACATGTACTATTAATAGTAGTAGTCGCCCTCTGCTGTCTACTACTACTACAGCTATTAACACTATTAAGAGTACGACTACTACTACTACTATTACTATTAATAGTCGTCTTTTCAACTACCGACCGATGGGTCCACAGGTTGGATCGATCCGTGTTGTTCCACTTAAATAAGACTACGACTCGTACTAGTCGAATGCCTACTACTACTACTACTACTACTAGTCGTCGCGTTCGCATCTCGACTACACACTGGGTCGTTTTATCCACGGGTTGATTGAACAACTTCCATCATGGTTGCATATTGAATGTGTCGAGTTGCAAGGTACTACCAGCATTGCTGTTGCATCCACGTCAATATCGCCCATTCATTCGTCGTGGGCTCCAAACAATGACGAGATGTCGGCGTCGTTGGATGTGCTGGTAGCACGGGGATGACTGGAGGAGGCTACCGGTGGAAGATCTTCAATGGCTTTCAACGTGTGCGGGGCATCCACGTACGCGAGAAACGGCGTCTCGAGGAATTCCTTCAAGTAGTTCTTTTGCGTTTTCGTGCTGTGGTGCGTCCGCAACGACTGTTCGAGTGCGGCCACGTCGTCGGGTTGGACGCCGTGCAGGCTGGCCACAATCTGGCGCGGCGCAAAGCACAAGTCGCTATCGGGTTTCACGGGCTGGTGCAGCGGGTCGATACCCTTGCATTCGTCCACGGGGAGCAGGCCGAGGGTGACGCGGCAGTAGATGTTGCGCAGGAGGTTGATCAGCTCCCACTTGAACCCGTCGTCGACGTCGTGGAAGTGCGCGAGCAGCGCGCACAGCGCCGCCGTGAACACGTCCTTGCCGAGCAGTTGGTGGAACTGCTGCGTTTGGGCAGCCAAGGCCGACACGAGTCGGTCGAGGAGGTTCGTGGCGCGGCGGCAGCTCAGCGTGTCCGTGTACCCGACGACCCCCACGAGGACGGCCACGATCTGCCGCGTGAGGGCGTCCGAGGATAGGATAAACTCGCGGAGGACACGGTCGGTTTCGACGACGACGTGCTTGGGGTGGGTCGAGTCCATGTCCACCACTGTCTTGGCATCGATCAGCGCCTCCACAAAGTCCACCGTGTACCGTACAACCTCGACAAACACAGCGTTCGAGACCGTGTCGACGGTCGTGGCTTGGATGTCGACGCCAGCAAACTGCGGCAGGTACGCCACGTCGTGCTTCATGTCATCACCCGACGAAGCGGCGGCGTACCCCGTGGCCAACCGATCGGTCAAATGACTCAACAAGTGCCACACCGTAGGCTGCAACAACATCTCATACAAATGGGGCGGACACGACTTGACAAACGGTAGCCACACACTTGAGAGGAACGTTTTCCAGTGGCGGTGCTCCATGTACTCGAGATTCGAGAGAAGCGACGACTGCACCCATGATGATGGCATGTCGGTGGTCGTAAAGATGTTGGCGTGGCCGAATGCACACCCGACAAGGTGGTAGCAAATATCGCGAGTGTTCTTTGCCCAGCGAGCGTACTTGGTCACGGCTACGTCGACGACTTGGACTTGTTCTTTGCCCAGCATAGCTTGGTTGATTTCTTCCACAGACATGACAAGGATGCCCCTCGCACTCGTGGTGGTCTGGACAAGGGATTCCCGGGCCAAAGGCGCCGAAAGCGCGTGCAGGGTGCGGATCAGCGCCATGAGATTGGGGAGCAGGACTGGCCACACGGACGCAAATGGATGGGGGGATGGCGACGGGATGTCCCCGTGTCCGGACAAAGAAGTAGACGAAGGGGGGGGAGAAGAAGGAGGGGGGGTCACTTGAATCCGTTTGGCAATCCCGTACAACGTCGTGAGTACTTTGAGCAGACCAAACACAACCGTAGCGTTGTGCGTTTCGAGGGCATGCACGAGCTTGTCTTGGGACGTAACGATCGGCGTCATGTCGGTCCACTGCGCGAGCGGCGCGGCCGTGATCTGCTGGATAAACGCCTCGCGCTCTTCAAACGTGGGCAAAGAATTCGATACGACTACGAGCATTTCGTACATGAGCACGCCTTCGCTATCGAGGACTTGTGGAAACAAGCCAATCACTTGGGTGCACAGCATCGGAAGGTATGGCAGCACGTGGAGCGGCCCCGCGTGGCAGATGGAAATCAACGAAGCCAGCGCGCGCCGCCGGACGTTGGTGGACGTCGGCCGCATGGGCGACCCATGAGCAATCGACTCGCCAGGCTCGCAAAACACAATCAACCCAAACAGGCGATCAAATACCCGGGGGTACAAAGTCGGATCGCGCATGTAGTACTTGGACAAGGACGACAGGCACAGGCAGTGGCGGAAGAGCAGCCACGGATCACGAGTGTGGTACGCCAAGAGCAGCTCCACTGACAGACCCAAGTGATGCCGCAGGGCCGGGGTCTCGTACACAACTTCGGGGAGCGACTTGACCAGACAGTCGACTAACGACGCCATGCCTACATTTCCAATCCAAAACACAATAGTTAAGGCATGTAATCGAGTAAATATGGTCAATTCGATTCATTTCATTGGAGTGTTTGGGTGCTCAATCGAATGACCAGAATCACCAAATTGGCAGACGACAATCGAAAATCGACCAATCAAAACCAGATCACGAATCACGTAGCCAATCAAACCCACGCATTGACCCAATCAACATGTAAATAGTGTGTGACTGAATTTAGTGTGCCACTGGACGATGTTTACATACAAAATTCAGTACATCCAACACTCCGTATACAAAAGTCGACCATCGATAGATTCGGCGGATCAACCTCTCCATCTTTAGGATAACTCGATTGAGTACCTTCGTGGTATATATGGGCGGTGGTGGTGTCGGTGCAATGGCCGAGGTCGTCCAAGTTGTCTCGGCCAGCGGCGTGGACCGTCAGCACGTACTGCAACCGGTCGTGCAGATGGGTCAGGGCGGCCGCCGGTTGTTTCTGGACGAGTAGGCGGAGGATGCCGTAGAGGCGGCCGCGAAAGTTGCCGTAGAATGCATTGTACGCGTCACGGTCGTCGAATTCCAAGGCGGACGTGTCGTCGTTGTCTGGCGAGTGCAGCTTGAAGTACTTGTCCAAGCAGGTGGTCCACAGCGCGGGGACGTTAATGTACGGCAAGAGTGTGGCGCATGATGCATGTTTGAGTACGTTGAGCCATACAATCACTTGCGCTTCGGTGAGGAGCGCGCTCGGGTGGTTAAAGAGGGTTTGGAGAAGGCTTAGAAACGACTGTAGCACGGGCAACGTCGTCGATGGAAGCGGGTCGGCTAGAACGTCGTCGAGCTGATGGACGCCCCAGCTCACGACGATGCGGTTGATGTGCGTGTGCAGCAGCAACGTGTCGGCGTCGTCCACGGGGCCGGTTAACGACAACGCCGCGAGATGGGACCAGCAGGTGAGGCTGGCTTGATGCAGGAGCGCCATGTGTTCCTTGCCAAACGAGCGCGAAAAGTACTCCTCCAGGCACTCGGCGGCCACGATTTGCATGGCCAGCAGCTGCGGCGTGTCAATGTTGGGATGCAGCAGAAGCCCCGCAACGGCGATAAAGTTGGCGTCGGGCGCGGCGGGGGTCGTCACGGGCATCCAGTCGAGGAACTCCTTCATCATCTGCAACCCCGCCAAGATGACGGCAGCGGCATGCGCGTCCTGTTGTTGGAGACGGGTGTATTGGAGCTCGAGTTCGCGGTACACACGTGGGAAGAGGACGGGAAAGGATGCGTTGAGGCCCTGGAGAAGGTCCTTGCGTCGCGCGGGTGGAATCGTCGAGTTGAAGGTCGAGCTCACGCAATCCTCGGCGATGGACCGGAACACGAGCATGACTAGCTCCGTCTGAAGAGGACCCACGGACCAGATTTGCATCAAGTGGTCCAGCATGTCGGGCCAGCGCTGGGGAAACGATCGCTTGGCAATGTCCGACACGACCTTGACCAGTTTCTCCTTGAGAAAGGTCGGCTCGTCCGCGTTCAGATGCGACGCCATGATGGTCAAGATGTTGGCACGGTAGGTCACCGCGTCTTCCGTGGCGGAACATGCCTTCCAGTGCTTGCGGATCCAAGTTTCCACGACATGCAAGGCAAAATGACGGTGGTGGAAAGGCCGTGACGCGTCCTGCAACAAATAGAACGCGTACTGAATGCAGTCCAGACGCTCCTGGAACGTTTCACAGTACACGTACGCGGCGTCGCGCTCGCTTTGCGCGCTGGACCCTGCATGACACACGTCCACGGCGCGGAGAACTTGTTCGTACACGTGGGGGTCCATCATCCGTGAAGTAGCCGCCAACGATTCATGCAAACAATCCCACCTTCTCATAAAAAAGAGAGTACATTCTAGAGAGTGTACTTATTTCATTTATTCTTTGTATACTCTGTTCGAGAAGAGAGCCGGATGTCGAGTGAATTTGAAAATAGTATACTATATGGAGGAGAGTAGGATTCGATTCGATTTATCCGGATGATGTTGACGACAATATATTATTATGGTCATTCCGACTTTGGACCAAAGCATCATGCAGCGCATTGAACGCATCCAGCAACACCTCCAAGCCGGCGCGCCGACTGAGATTGTCATCGTAGCGGCGACGCGCACGCCTATCACCAAGGCAAAGCGCGGTGCATTCAAGGACACGACACCGGATGTGTTGCTTCGACATGTACGAGTCGATCTTGTCAAGCATTTGCTTGGTTCACCCATTTTTGGGCGGAAGCTGTGCTTCTCACGCGTTTCCGACGTGGCGGTGTAGGTGTTCCAAGGCGTGCTTGCGCAAACGAAAATCGATCCTTCCTTGATTGGAGATGTCGTCGTCGGTACGACAACATCCTCCACACGATGTATCATGATGATGCCGACACGGACGCATGGATAGGGAACGTGTTGCAACCTGGGTCAGCGGCAGGAGGTGCTCGCATGGGTCAATTGTGCGCGGGCATTCCATTCTCCGTGCCGCTTACCACCGTGAACCGGTACATGACATGGACGATATCGAGCAAACGCTTGATACATACATGCAAGTTGAACTTGGACACGCTAGGCAATGCTCATCGGGACTCCAAGCGTTTGCAAACGTCGCGAGTGCCATCCAAGCCGGCTTTTACGACGTAGGTATTGCCGCGGGGGTTGAGTGCATGTCATTGACGGACATGGGCGGCACCGCGCCAGACGTGTGCTGGGAACAGGTACGTACATACGTACCCACCCCCTCATACAGTCCACATGGTTTATCTAAGTAGCATGCTGTTTCATATTCAGGTGCATGCAAACAAAGCGGCCCGCAACTGCACGGTCCCCATGGGCATCACGTCCGAGAACGTTGCCGAGAAGTATGGCATCACCCGCACCCAGCAAGTACGTCATTCCTTCTACAGTGTCTGCATTCTCGTTGTGTATTCAACCCATATACACGTTGTGTAAGACTAATGTACAGTATATTTGGCGTACTGTATCATCTTGTACGAATATGTGTGTTTTGTGAATTCGCAATAAACTTCCAAAAAAGTCGCTTGGTTTGTCCAATCAAATACATCCACTCCAAAATGGATTAGCCAATCGCGTCGATTCGTGATGATTCGGCGCCGAGATGAATTCGATTCGATGGGGTCGGGAAATTCGTATCGAATCTACAATATTTTATTGTGCTTTCGAGTGACATTTCATTGTGTTGTGGTTTCTCGTTGGAATTTAAATCGATTTGATTGGCTACCTCAGAGGAGCTCAAAAATTTTAGCCAATCAAAACCTTCTAAATGAAATTCAACAACCAATCAGATCGATTGTGGATCGGTTTGGTCGATTCGATTGTACCCTTTTTCAAATTTGTACTATCAAATCGACAATAATAGTTGCATTTCTTTTTCTTTATTTCGTCGTGAACGCCCCTCCCTATACAACTATCGTGTACAGTACGTATTGTGTCATTGAAAAAATATATATTTGACGTCTTCAACGAGTTGCGAACACTGTAATTTTTTTAAAATTTCGACATATCTGGAGCAGCACCCTAATCTATTTAACCATCGAAAAATAAGTAAAATGTATTGCAATCCATATATTGTGGATTCGGAACAAGTTTCCAGACCTCGTCGAATACTCGAATATCGCGCTGCGGAATCATCACGAATTAATCCACGCGGTTGGCTAATCCAATTTTGAGTGGATTTGATTGGCTCTTACAGAAAGGACAAGTATATTCAACCAATCAAAACTCGAGCGAGATTCAATATTGATTCAACAAACCACGCGAAGTTTGAAAGTTCATAGCGAATTCACGGTATAACGATGGTCTTTGAAGTCTGCAACGAGGCAAAAACTGGTGTGTAGACTCACCTACCAGTAGGACACATTTGCCGCCGCGTCGCACGCCAAAGCCCATGCGGCCCAAGAACACGGATGGTTCTCCCGTGAAATCACACCTGTGACGACGACGCGCACGACAGCCGACGGCGTCGACCAACAGGTGACGGTCACGGCAGATGAAGGCGTTCGACCTGGTACGACCGTCGACGGGCTGGCCAAGCTCAAAGCATCGTTCAAGCCCAGTGGCACCACCACGGCAGGTATATCATCCAAACAAGCGCGTTCGGAACACTCATAGAAGACATGCTAGGCAACTCGAGCCAAGTGAGCGACGGCGCTGCGGCGTGCCTCGTCATGACGCGACGTGTGGCGGAGCAATTGAAGCTCCCGATCCTCGGCTCGTTTGTCTCGTATGCGGTACGCGACGTCTGCTACCCACCATCTTGTCCATATTGTCATCTGAATAATGGGGGTCGTTGTGGCGACTACCTAGGTGGTCGGAGTCCCGCCAGAGATCATGGGCGTCGGTACGTACTGTTTTTTGCTTACTATTTCTATTTTTTATAAATCGTAGGATATTCCATGACATGAATATATTACCTTGGTTATGAGTAGGCCCGGCGGTGGCGATCCCGGCGGCGCTCAAGAAGGCGGGACTAACCATCGACCAAATTGATGTGTTTGAACTGAATGAAGCATTTGCCAGCCAGGTACTACTACTACTATTACTACTCATTCCAAGTGCACTTTGCAGTACTACTCATTACTAGAGTACCGTACTAACTTACTAGTACTCATTCCACTTTGCAGTATGGCACGAGTATTTTTATTCATGCATGTATACATATTGCTAGTTAAAAGGCACTTTGCATTGTATCACGACACAAAAGTGTTGTTTTAAATTATGTGACGGTGGTGTAGGCGCTGTATTGCCAACAAACGCTCCAGATTCCGAGCCATAAAATCAACCCCACGGGTACTACCGTTTAGCTGGTGTAGTTAGTTGTATGATCCATCATGACAGTTGTCGGTTGCAGGAGGCGCCATCGCCCTCGGCCACCCATTGGGCTGCACGGGCGCGCGCCAAATCGCCACGTTGTTGCATGGCCTGCACCGCACCAATCAAACGTACGGGGTCGTGTCCATGTGCATCGGGACGGGCATGGGGGCCGCCGCCGTCTTCAAGCGCGATTAAGTAGGATGTAACCAAGGACGAGGGAAGTTATGACGCAAACACGCGTGCTTGGTCGTGTGGATGTGTGATCTGTGAACATGTGACGAAGGGTTAACCCATACTATCGGTAGTACGACTACGTAACGTTAGTACTGTACGAGTCCATATTGTCACAACAGGTGCCTGTGGCTGGCGCTACAGCTGCGGCGACGGCGCCTGGCACATGTGTTCACGGTCAATACTGTAATGCACTGTATACAAATCGCCGCCGTATTCTACATGCGAGATAATCTACCTTCCCTTGAGCATGCTGCTTATGAGCCTTGGAAGGGAGCGCCTGGACGTCGGCATCGTTCGACCCACGGTGCGGGAATGGGTGGGTTCGTCCAAGCTTCAACCAGCGCTTCAAGTGCTTGAAGTTACGTGGTCGGTATCCGGATACGACCAGTTTACCAATCATGGACGCTTCAATAAGCAATTTGTATGAACGTTTTTGTATATCAAAAACGATATACTCAAACCAAGCTTAAATATTGGTCGTGCGAATCGTACGATCATGATATCCTGGCGATGGACACCGACCAGTATCCGGAGACCATTGACGCTAGATTTCTCATTTTGGAATTTTCAACATGGCGACCACCGCTTCGATTCTTCAAGTGCTGACTCAAGGGCTGGGGAAGACCCTTCCCGCGCATCCAGGCAAGAACTTGTCCGTGCCGCAAGCTCCCACCCGCTCGCCCATCCTCACGGAACGCGAATATCAATTGGCGATCAAGAACGCGTTGCGGTACTTCCCCAAGGAATGGCACGCGACGTTGGCGCCGGAATTCGCCGCCGAGCTCAAGGACGAAGGACACATTTACATGCATCGTTTCCGCCCCACAACGTATGAAATGAAGGGATACCCCGTCGAGTCGTACCCTGGCAAGATCACGGCGGCGAACGCGATCATGATGATGATCATGAACAACCTGGACAAAGCGATTGCACAGTTTCCCGCGCACTTGATCACGTACGGCGGGAACGGCAGCGTGTTTAGCAACTGGGCGCAGTACCTCTTGGTCATGCAATACCTGAGTCAAATGACCGAAGACCAGACCCTCGTGTTGTACTCTGGGCACCCTCTGGGTCTATTTCCGAGCTCGCCGGACGCGCCCCGCGTGATCGTCACCAACGGCATGATGATTCCCAACTACTCGACCCGCGAAATGTACGACAAGCTGTACGCGCTGGGCAACACCCAGTACGGCCAGATGACGGCGGGTAGCTACTGCTACATCGGACCGCAGGGTATTGTGCACGGCACGACCATCACCGTCATGAACGCATGCCGCAAGTACTTGCACAAGGAGGACATGAAGGGCGTGGTGTACGTGTCGTCCGGTCTGGGGGGTATGAGTGGCGCGCAGCCCAAGGCAGGCGTGATCGCCGGGATGATCTCGGTCACCGCTGAAGTCGACATCGCCGCCATCAACAAGCGCCACGCGCAGGGATGGGTGAACGAGATCGCGTCGACGCTGCCGCAATGCTTGGACATGATCCGGTCGGCGCGCAAGGACCAGCGCGTCGTGTCCATCGCGTACCACGGCAACATTGTGGACCTGTGGGAAGCGTTGGCGGATGCGGCCGAGGCGGGCGAGCTGCTCGTGGAGCTCGGGTCGGACCAAACCTCATTGCACAACCCGTTCAACGGCGGGTACTACCCCGCCGAGATTTCGTTTGAAGCGTCGTTGGCGCTCATGGCGGCCGATCCGGCAGCGTTCAAAGCGCTCGTGCAGTCGAGTTTACTGCGCCATGTGAACGCGATCAACCGCCTGACACGGCGCGGCATGTACTTTTGGGATTATGGCAACTCGTTCTTGTTGGAAGCAAGCCGCGCCGGCGCCGACATTTACAAAACTAACCGCGAAGAAGACGGGTTCAAGTACCCGTCGTATGTCCAGGACATCATGGGCGACATCTTCTCGCTCGGGTTTGGCCCGTTCCGATGGGTGTGTGCGTCCGGCAGCCCCGACGACCTCCGCACCACCGATCGCATCGCCGCCCGCATTCTCAAGGAGTACTTGGAGGCCGGCGCACCCCCTCGTGTGGCGGCGCAGCTCCGCGACAACATCAGGTGGATTGAAGCAGCCGAGGCCAATCAAATGGTCGTCGGCACCCAGGCGCGCATCTTGTACGCGGACCGCTTTGCCCGTCAAAGCATCGCCGTGGCCCTCAACCAAGCCATCACGAGCGGCGAACTGTCCGGCCCCGTCGTGCTCAGCCGAGACCACCACGACGTGAGCGGCACCGACAGTCCGTTCCGCGAAACGTCCAACGTCACAGACGGCTCCATGTTCACGGCGGACATGGCGATCCACAACGTGATCGGCGACGCATTCCGAGGCGCGACGTGGGTATCCATCCACAACGGCGGGGGCGTCGGATGGGGTGAAGTCACCAATGGAGGCTTCGGCATGGTCCTCGACGGGTCCAAGGCCGCGGAACGCAAAGCCGCCAACATGTTGAGCTGGGACGTCAACAACGGCGTGGCCCGCCGAGCGTGGGGTCGCAACGACAACGCCGTCTTCGCCATGGAGCGCGAAATGGAGGCCGACCCGCTGCTCAAGGTCACCTTGCCCCAGTTTGCCGACGACGACTTGGTCAAGTCGGTGTGCGACGCCGCCTTCAAGTAAAAAGGGCCGTGGAGCAATATTAATAGATGGAGGAGTTGCTTTGCATTCACTTTAAAAGGTTTTACCGGTGCTTCGGTTACTGTCCGGATAAAGAGGTGAAACCGATCACGTTTGGAGCGTTTCAAAATTTCTTGATGCATGGCATGGCCTGGGGCTGACAATAATATTATTAATAATAGCGTAATTATTCCGATGACAAATCATGAGCTCCAAGAACAATCGCCTGGGAAAGGCTGTGATGACCTCATTTAGCGGGTCGTCAATATCCTGTAGTACAGGGTAAGCTCATCGGTATGCATTAGACAGGGAAGGTTTCCAACGTTTTACGCCTTCTTTGTTTCCCTTCAGTAAATGCTGATTGGCACTTCCCAACCTAACAGACTCCCGTCAGAGTCGCATGCCGGCATTATTGCTCGTAGTGATGGCGTCGTCGATGGCATTCAGTTGTTCAAGAGGTCGCGCAAAAACGCGTATGCAAATTGCACATAAATACGCAGGTAGCTTTATTATATTTTTCATGCTCGATAGTATAAAAATGCATGGGAACATCCGTGTTTCGGCGAGGTGAAGAAATAAAATACCACACATTCTGTAAATTAATTCCACTTGTTTTAAAAGGACGTTGTGTCCAGGTATACTGAAACCAAGTGAATCAACGTGTTGGCATTGACTATTGCTCGATGGTGATTGGGGGTTGTTTCTGACTTGGTTTTAGTATACTGACCGTTGTATGGCCCGAGTTACTTTCCGATTTCCCTCCCGAAAGACAAAAGCAAGATGGAGAGCGCCGCCGACTTGAAGACGACCCCTGTGGATCCTCGTTTCCCCACCCAAAACCAAACCCAACATTGCTGGTAGGAAGAATATCAATATGCGACCGCGATGGAGAGCCTTGACGTCTCATGCGTGGATATGACGTACGTAGGGTCCGATACAACGAATGGGCGTTGTGCTTGAAGAAGAACGACGACGACGAAGACGCGTGCAAGCACAAGCGCCAATACGCCAAGTCCCTCTGCCCTGGTTCGTGGCTCGAAAAGTGGGACACGGAACGTGACGAAGGCAACTTCTCGGGTGTCCCCAAGTAAATAATCGTGTGTACTTCGGCGGCCCTTGCTGGATAGACGGCACCGTAGATTGCTATATGCCACTAAAACGCGCTGCAATATTCTTGGATTTGTCTTTAGAAGTGCTGGCCGGGGAGGTATTTGTGAGGGAGCAGTGTATTGCATTGATATGGCGGATAGCTTGAGATGAGAAGGGATCTACAGAAACACGAGGACCATGCGATCGTGCGGGATAGCTCTCAATGGTGTCGTGGTTGACACGTCATAGAGCAAGGCTTTTTTCCAGATATGTATCTCATTCACGTGTCCTGTGCATTCTCGCCGCCACGTCAAGCGCCGCTTGCTCGATTAGAAAATTCTTGACAAGGTCAAACTGTACTTTATTGGAAATTGATTGTCATGTAAATTGGCGTATCGATATATTATTATTAATAGTATCGTTGTATATTTGGGTATTACTATAATTAATTTACCACTAACTCTCCAGTTAAGTATTGTGTGTGTTGCCTCTGCAATCGATTCTGCGCGGTGGCGCCATGACGGTGGACTTTCGATGGTGCATGGCGATGCAAAGCTACGGTGGGGCAGGCGGGAACATGTGTACTGTCAGCGCCAACACCGGTATCCTTGCCGTAGCTATGGGTAGCTTCGTCGACCTGTATCTTTTGCAGGACATGGAAGAAAGTTCGATCCATCCTGATGGCACCATCTCGAGCAGCAGCGACGTGCATATCCCATTTGCCGCGCAAGTGTGTCTGCGCACGCACCTATGGAATTCTTTGTCGAACGAAACAGACAATGTCGTGGCCACATGCGTGCACTTCGTCGACAACACGCTGCTTGTGGGTACGTTGACGACACGTCGCGTGGGCTCGCAAATCGAAAGGACGGCATCTATCCAGGGGTTCCGTGTCTTTGGCGGGACGACTTCCGTGGTCACGCATCACGCATTCAGCCGACTATGGAAGGGTGGATTCACAAAGATCGTTGCATTCGAGTCAATGGGAGGTACTAGTACGGGAGTGTTCGTTCTCGCAGCAGGTCAGTCGACAACAACCTCCGTCGATGCCATAACGTGGACTGACCGATGCGTCTCCATCCATGTACGTACATACTCCTTTGTCAGTTGTATTTCCATCCTCTAGGACTAATTTATATGACGTGATCGGTCTTCTCCAGCACCACGCGATAACGTCAGCGCACGAGTCCATTGCGGCGATAGCATTTCAAGCGACAAACGAGGGTGGTGGCATCGGGTGGTTAGCCGTCGCCCATGCCGCTGGACTTGCCATCTACGGCATCCACAATCTTCACGGCTCGTCGTTGAAGTCCGATTCGGTCATCGCAACAACATTGACGAGTACCATCCATCGAGGTCGCGTACTCTACCCCTGCATATTGCTCGTTTGAATATCACCCTTGGGATGGATGATGCATCCTCGGATATGCAGGTGTACCGTTGACAGCGTTGGCATGGCAAGGCAGGACGTCCCTCTGCGCGGGCGCGGCCGATGGCGCGACCCTGGTACACCACCCCGCTCCAAAGGTGTGCGTCGTCATTGTGACTGACTGGTAGGTGTATCAAGTGATGACGTTGCCCCGTCCGGCCTTGATAACGTCATCATCACCAATCCCGAGTGTCCACCTCCGTCACGTACATAACGACATACTCAATGCATTGTTCCTTGGTGAATCCTACGCCTCTGATCTTACGAGAATGCCATAGATATATTCATTTTCGAGTATGTGTATAGGTGTATCCAGCTCGATTTGCACCCCCCGAGCCCCATGAAGGGGGTGCTATCGCATCAAACATGTCCATCACGCCAGCCTTCAAAGGCCACCGCTTCCTCCATCTTTCGGCGTCGCAGTTACTTGCTTGGTACGAGGACGACTTGTATGCATCGTTTGTCGTGTGGCCGACAGATCCATGGCCGTTGGTTGAACACGCCATAGCGTTGTTGATGCCGTCGTCATCAGCATCATCGCCACAGCACGTACGTAGCACCAACAATGCACAACTAGTATGCTTAAGAAGGTACTACAGTTCTACTAGTACTACTACTTGTTACTAGGGCTGGGCGATGACAGAACAGTGTCGGGGGATGGCATCAGTACCCATGGCGTTGCTGCCACGGTGGATATTCGACAGACATGACCTTTCTGAATATGTGGATCCACATGGACATGTGGTCGTACTTCTCACGACGCAAGCGTTGCGACTGGGGATGGTCATGCATCATCACCCAGATACTGTCCACCTGGAACAATCCCAGCTGCAAGCATTCATACCACAAGATGAGGTGATCAATCATGCACGGTGAGTTTGCTGTCACGAAATACATGACTCGATCTAGTGTTTACACATACTGTACTGCAGGGAAGCCACCACTGACGTACCGACGAGCGTTGTGGACGAGCCAAACACTGTGCAAAACCGATATGCGTTGCCGTCGCCCCTTCCGGTAGTATCCCCTTGCAACGACCCACAGACATGGACAAAGCAAGCATACCGGCAGGTACAGTACAAGCTACTAGTACTTACTAGTAGTACGCACACACGATGCAACAAGGCTCATGAACGTACTGTACTGGCAGCGACTGGATCACCTCCATACTCGCGTGGACTCTATGGGCCACACGATTCGAAGTCTTCGCTCGTCGTTTCAGTTGTTTACGAACGACGTCAACAACCACATGACAGCCATTACAATCGCATTGCACCAAGTCTTGGCCCTCCACGACGAAAGCGACGAGGTCGTTGCCCCCCCTCATTCCAATGACAACCAGGTTTACTGTAATGGAACTGAAAAATGAGTACTACTACTACGTAGTAAGTACTACGTAGTACAGTACCTCATTTCTACTTCGACGTACCTCGTAGTAGTATTACTAGTACTACAGTACTCTCGAGTACTGTACAGTAGTAGTTACTAGTAGTACTAAGTACTTCGCAGTATTAATAGGTACTTTTAGGAATAACGTTAGGTACTTGTGGTATTGTATAGGTACAAAACATGGCTGTTTGTTTATTCGGTTTAATAGATGAAATGTGCAATCATCCGTATAACAGTTACCGGTTATTGGTAGCAAAACGAGGATGAAGCGAGCGCGCGCTACTCCGACCGCGACCACGCACCGAAGCATCCGAGGTCCATCTGGACGAGTGTATCTCATTATGGATGGCTTGGATGGCGAACCGATTACCTCCACGATGGTACATCTATGACCTCGTTGCCTGCGTGAATCAAAGGAACCAACGACTTGACCATAGTGGGCCGCAATTGAATCGTACGAGGATCGTCAGACACCAACAAATCCCATGGTGCTGCCATCCTCCACGCAAATCGTTGAATCCCAGTCGGCTTTACTATGCGACGACATATGCCCCGAAAGTTCGGATGAACCGAGCGATGACGAAGACAGTCCTGGCAACGTCGACGACTCTTCCATCTCAGGTCACCTGCTACTGTCGTCGTCGAATCCACAGTCAGCCCCCCTCAGCCCACATCTCTCTGCGTCGGTATCACCGATTAAAGCCGCATCTCTCGAGCGAACTGTCCGCCAAGAACGCGTTCATGGCGTAGTTGGGACGACTCCATGTGCGACTGAAACCGAGGATACACCTGACGTCGAGCTCACCACGCCACCCGCCACTCACAATCCAGAGCCATGTCCATCCACAACGCCGCCTCGTCCATCGACAACTTCGCCTCGTCTATCGAATACCACCGTTGCATCCATCCATGAAGAAGAGTCGCGCCCCGTCGTGGCCAAGGAACCCTTAGATCTGTCGTTGCTTCCGGTAAGTCTATCGACGGACGATGATGCGCGTGGCGGTGCTGTCATCATGCAAGACCCACATGTCGACTCGAAACGGAACTCCCTTCGTATGCAAGAATGTGAGGCGAATCTCGTGGTTGTGCAGTCCCCACCACGACAGTCGACTCTGATGGATCAGACTCAGACTCTGGCGGCGGCGGACCATACCCCCATAGTGACACAACCAGATTCGAATCAGGTGGTATTGGCTCAGAATCAGACGTCGCCGCCGACGCCTCTTTTGCCTCCAATACGACCACAAGCTGCGTCGATGATTCCCATCGATTTGGGGGGTCCGGCTCAGACTGATGATTCCTCCTCCACTGTTCTGATTCCACCCACGTCAACCCTGTCGCACATCCACCACCCTCCCATCCGTAGCCAAGAACTGGACGCGGTGCAAGTCCTCGCGTCGCTCACAAGCGACTGCCCGTCGTTGGCGTCATGGCTACGCCTCGAAGGCGATGTCGATACCACCATGTTTGACGACAACTCGTACTACCACTCTCCACCGCCCTCTCCCGTCAGCCACGCTGAGCCCTCATGTCATCCGCCCATTCCACCGGCGCCTCCATGCCCGTCGGTCATTCCAAGCCTCATCGACGCCTGGCCCCGATCCCTTCGACGGCGATGCCACGTCATTCATCCCACGGCATCTTCGTCACAGCCGCTGCCGCCATCCGTCAAACCAGAATCCATCGTCCTTTGGATCCAAGAAACCTGGCGCGTCCATCACAACTATGCGCTGGCCGCCGCCGACTGGCTCCACGCGACGCACGACCTCCCGCTCGTCGCGTTTTGCGTGCTGCCGTCGAGCATGTTTTATCCGGAAGCCAGTCCCATGACAACCAATGACAACGGCATGCGGGCATCCGTGGCGTACATGCGGCGGCAGCTGCAAGCGCGAGGGATTCCCCTCCACGGCATCATACTCACTCATGTACGTACATCGTCGCAGCTCCGAACTCTCTATCCATTTGTGTTCCCATTCACTCAACCATCCATGTTATAAACGTTGTTGGAAATTGAGAGTATCTCTGGCACTCCAATATATACATCTTGCTGTTACTGTAGTATATCCATGTGGATCATCATATATTTTGCACTCAAATCTGTTTTGTCCTTGGATGGGGGGGATACAGGACAAGGATGGTGACGACGTGTCGTCGGCGCTTCTGTCGCTGCGCCCGTGGGCAGTTGTCACTGACGATGTTGTCGATGCCTATGGCGTGCCACCCGTGTTGGAGCTGCCGACCACCACTCTCTTCCTGGTAATAACTAGCTAGCTACTGTAGTTAGATGGGTTGTTGTTGTATATAATATGTGACATGGTGCAACTAGATGGACAGCACGTGCTGTGTTCCGTGGCGCACGTTTGTCGGAAACGCTGTCACATATTCCAAACACGAGTTTGAACGCGTGTGGCTGGCAGCGTGGGACGCCGTCGACGACGACGACAACCGGATCCCTTCACCCCATCGGCGGGATGGGGCATTTCCGGCTTCGTGCTGCAGTAGTAACCATCTACCGTGGTCGAATCTGGACAAGCCCAGTGCGTTCGATTTGAGGTATACATACATTACGTTGATCACGTCATCGCATGAGGACCATGCCAGCTTGTACCTGAGACGTGGGGCTATACCGGTATATATATAGTGAACGAACTGCCTTGTCGCATATGCACACGACGTGCGTCCAAGTAGGCACGACGAAGCCAGCGTTGCAGGAAGAACTTCATGTACATGTCTCATGAACGATCACGTCATCGAGATGACGTTATACTCCGTAGGGTCGTGGTGTGACATCGTGCCTTCCATTTCTACGCCATGGATCGCTCTCCGCCATGTACCTCTTGACCACTCTAAAGGCCACCTCCAACCAAGTACATAAACTACTAACACATCAACATCCCATGGATAATATGTTCAATGTGATGCCTTTCACTTCAAAGCCACAGACTTGATATGATGTTGTTCCTCTTAGGTGCTGTATTCGAGGGCCCTGACGCACTGTGTACTTGCTCGCGAATATGCAAAGTATGTTCTGCTGCGCCAAGTTGATGCTAGACATGACGGCAGCACCCTCGCCGCCTCTAACCCTCCATTCCATGCAGCAGCGTCGCGTCCGCTGTACGAACCCTTCTCGCTTGCTTTAACGACTACCTTATGCTGCAGTTCTGCGACAACGTGATGGGGCATTTACTTAGATGGGTGTATCGATCCCTCGTCGCTCAAGCTGTGACCCCACGTAGCACCCCCCTTCAAGGTACTTATGCGGTTACATGCCTTGATTTTGTTTGGCATAGGCTATTGTGACCGCCGTTTATAGTGGTAATATTGGCCTTGTAGACCCTGCACCAGCACTTCATAGCGAGAAAGAAGACCAAGTAGTAGTGTATCAGCTCCCCTATCAACTCGAAGCCAGTCGCAGCCCCGACCGTACTTGGAACGACATCATGACACACGTACGCCTCACGGGGTACGTCCATCCCGTGCTTGCATCGTACTGGGGTCGCCAGCTGTTGGGTCCCTGGAGTCCGTCTCCCGTTGCGGGACTGGGGGTACGTTATATATTTATATATATCGTATTATAGCGTAGTTATGACGATATGCATAACGTGTATTGTAGATGCTGGAAGGGTTGGTGATGCGGTACTCTATCGGCGCCACCGCAGACGTCGTGGTGCAGGTTCTGCTGTCCATGATCCACGACGACGCCACGGCGGACCTGTTGGCCGCGCAGACGGACGACCATCCGTTGTTGGTGCAACTTCGAGCTGCCGTTACCGATGCACCTCTGTCACATGATTAGAGCGAAAGGGCACGTTAAAAAAGTAGTTTAAACACATTGCGACCGTGAGTGAGAGATAGTAAACCTGCGCAATATTCAACTGCAGATTATTCGCACTATCGTTTGTTTCTAAGGCCAGCCCCAAAAGCTGGATCGATTGCAATGTGAGGTGGGCCCTTGTTAAGCCACTCTAGTAGAGTGGTTGCCAAGTGATATATGGTTACAGTCGTTCTATCAGACCCCCCGCCCTTCCTTCAGTCGCCAATAAAAGTGGTGCTACTCATAGACTAAGATGCAAGCATAGTCAAACCCATCGCAACCCCCAGCGCCTCCTGATGTGATGATTTCCGATAACACGAGATGCTCATGGTCGCATTGATTATATAGTAGTAGTTCGCTTTTGACTACAACCGGTGGCTATTTGCCGCTAAAAATAGACAGTCCCCTGCGAACATCCAGTGGGTTCAAGCAGCACGATGCTGTCGCTCAACTCGTACGGGCTAGCCAAGGCGTCCAACCAGCACCTGACGCTGCCCCGCCTAAATCCCCCCGCCATCCGCTCCTCCAACACCCTCTCGGTGGGGAAACTCGCTCAAGAACGACGAGACGTGCACCCATGGTACCGCACCACTTCGGGGTAACTTATGCAAAACACACATAGAGCCCCCCCTCCATGACGTTTGCTCATTGAATTGATGGAATATGTTCGTTATTGTATGGTGTGTTTATGCCTATTAGCTTTGAGTACGGTCGTCACGTCGACTTTCAAGACATTGGACTGAACGTGAGTCCTGTGAACCCCCACGCCAAGCACATGGACTTTACCCACGGGTTTCTGCAAGGCCCGTACACAGACTCTAGCCTTGGGTCGCTCGACATGAAGTGAGAATGACGTCCATCCAACTAACTACCCTACGAACGAACGACCGGTAGTCGACGATTTGACTCTTGATGATGGCATAGAAAGAAGCGCCTCGTGCTAAGCGACAAGTTGCGTGCCGAGCATAAGATTCGCATGCAAGCCAAGTTTGACGAGAAACAACTGGTACAACCAATTCCAGTCGTAGTTTGGTCGCGATGGCGAGGAGCTCGGGCTGGTCATACCCCCCCTCGTCTCCGTCGTCGCACGACCCAACACGAGTCATATGACGTTATGTGCACCTGCTTTGTCATGCTATAGCAACTCAACTTTAAGCGCGAAGTGCGGCGAGAATTGCGAGACAAACGGCGCTTGGAGCTCACCGAGAAAACCCACGCGAGTAGTGTGATTCAACGGCACGTTCGCGGCATGTTGGCGCGGACGCATGTCGCGGCGGCTCACAGCGCCCTCGCGCACGTCAGCGCCGTCCGGATTCAGGTAGACGTGTGATGATGATCATGTGGGCGAGAACGAGCCCCCTAGAGCCAGCGCTCTTGACGCCCCGTGTCGTGTAGTCGTTTTGTCGATCCAAAATGCGCATATACCACGCTAAATTGGCGCTCCAGCGAATCAAGGTTGTGTACCCCCTCCCATGTTTTGTCATCATTTCCATCAACGATTGATCACAATGGGGAAATATGACTCTAGGATGACCTCGCAGTCGACGCGGCGTGTGTGATTCAGCGCAAGATTCGAGACCATTTGGCGAAACGAAATGCACGGGCCGAGCTGCAGCGGCGGCGGGAGCAGCGCTCCAGTCGTCGCCAGCAGATCCAGAAGGAACTGATGGACGCCAGGCGCCGAGCCTCCGTGGCCATCCAGCGAATTGGACGAGGGTTAATCGTTCGCCAGCGCATGCGACGTCGGCGGCTTGTGGCGGACACGGGGGTGCCTAATCCATTCAGTTCCAAGCGAAAGCAGCCACCATTGCAAACTGCCCAAGTGCAGTCCAAGCAACAGTTCAAACAAGCAGCAGCAGCAGCTCCGTCCCCCGCCAGTACGTTGATGGTTTATATATATATATTTACGATACTTCTTCACATGAGTGTAGAACCACCGGGAAAGAAAAAAGCATCGGCGGTTCCCGCGCCAGCACTGCGGCGGTTGTCGTCTGTCGACAGCTCCCTCAACGACGCATAACATATGCAACGATGATAAATCATTTTCGAGCTTTGGCGAGCTTTTGAGTATACGTCGACATGTACTACGCGGTACATATCAAACCAAATTCCGAACGATCTAGAGTTGCAACGAGGGGGAATAGAGATAGGTGCCTTTCTTACCTTGGGGTACTTCTTGTCGTAAGCAGCCTTAGCTTTGCCTGTAAGTCCCCGCACTTCGTTTGAAGTGTATGTGCTACAAGGTTCGTTCATTGTCGGGCTTATTGTGGTACAACGTACCGGCCAAACACTGCTTTTTGAGATTGAAGCACCAAATCAGCTTGGAACGCTTCTTCCGCGGACGCGGTGACGTTGATCTGTGGGGCGTTGTCTAGGAAGGCTAGGCGAAAAATCACATGAAATGAACAATACCGTTCGGTTGCAGAAAAAAACATTCTTCGTACCGGATGCTATGGACTCTCGAAACGTGTCGACATGTCGTGCAAAACCATTGGCGGCGGCCGCGGCTGCCGTCTCGAGGGCGTCCCGTTGGTGCTGAATATGAACCCCATCTTCGGGGGAGCCAATAAACACTGTAAAGGAAACAGAACGACATCATGTGCTTGTTGACCATGGAAAGATGGATACCAGTATACACGAATGTGCAAACGTACAAGCGGTCAACGATGAGTGCAACTCGTTGACGAGCGGATTGAATGCATTTTCAACGACGAGGGGTTCCAACAGTGGTGCGACGTGACGCGGACTGGAGGTTGGGGAAAGTAGGGCAAGCCGGGCGCTGACGGGGGCGACTGATTGGTCGGTTCTGGGGGTTAATGTCATCATGTCGGGGGCTTTAGGGGGAGTTTGCGGTGGAATCACAATGGATGTTGGCTCATTCGACTAGGTTGACATTCATTGGGCATTCATAACCAACAGCACTAGTTCGTACGTAATTGGTATGAAAGTCCGTGGAGAGAGATTCCAGTTGCAAGTCCTGGCGGATGCTTGCAGACGCGTACTGGTCGATCCATTCTTGAATCTGCCACACTTGAACCGTGGGAGCCTATCATAAACCACCCCCCATCGATCATCATGACCTGTGGCGAAGGTAGCAGCAATACTGTTGACAGCAGGCTTACCAGCGATGTGATGGTGGCCACCGCGGCGGCGAACGATGTGCTTAGAACCCATTGTGGTCTAGATGCACAAGTCAGCAATTGGTGGCTATTGATGTGGACATCAACTTCGTACTGCAAAATGCTCAAGAAGGCAGCGCAGAGCTCAGGTAGCATCCGGCCATGCCCGACGAGAAGCAATTGGTCCCATATAAAGAGCAGCGTGTCGGGCGACGTATAGCCCACAAACAGTCGCTCGATATATGCTTCAAGTAGCTCCGTCCACGATGCCGTGGGGGTTGTCTGAAGTAACGTGATGAATATGACTGATGAACATTATTTTAAGACGTTCGGCACCTCTGACGGAAAGAGGGTCACAAGGGAGGTAGCGTACGATGCATCGACTGTGTTTAGACGATCAACGACGCGAGACACAAATGCTTTGTCCACAAAATGCGGACGGGGAACTATGGCCAGCAGGGTTGCGTACGCTTCGACGAGAGAGCTGGCGTCGGCATCAGGCCATACCAACAGCAGGGGAAGCACTAGCGAAAAGTACGCTTCCCCCAAGGTACTAAATGCTTGGGGGGTGATGGTGTGGATGTACGAGAGGGCTGTTTTCATGGCCATGTGGATATTTCGCGACGGGGGAACGCTTGGAAACGCGTCCAGGACTGCCTACGACAACACACAATTGAATATGCCCTAGTATTGCGTCCTTCGATGTCGACGTACTTGACACTTCACGGTAAACTGGGCATCCAGCACAGAAATGGTGCCGATGCGATTGGTCACACACTTGGACTCGAACTTGAATCGTGTGGTGGGGTCGCTCAAAAACAACTTCCACGCCTACAACATGGCGTCGTTCGAAGCATGATTATATGCAGTTGGTACAGTAGTGATAGTTACCTGAGGTCGAAAGGGTGGTGGAAACGGATGGTTGAACAGCAGGCGGAGCATACTGCGCTGCTCAGCTGGAAGGCCCTGGACAAGTAAACTCGCGGCTTGGGCTGCCGATTGCAAGGCCAGAGTTTGCTACAACCATATTCCACAGTCATGAGCAACAATATTACAGCGAAAAGATAGACCTTGGTAGCTGCGTTTCCTTCTTGTGCAAATGCAATGTCAACGTGCATCGCTAGTTGCTACAACGACCGCAGATACGTTGTTCAGACGATAATTGCGTAGCGAATTCATGATATTTACACACGTTATCCATGGTCCGCGTCAATCTCTTCAGGAAGGCTCCGTATGCATCGTGCTGCATCAGCTCGATCTCCACCTGCGCCATCAACATTACGCGCTCGTCTGTGGTGAGGTCACCAAAATGCTACCAGTGATATGTCACGTTGATTGCAATGGAGTTTGTACGGTAAAGATACCTTTGTTTTGCTTAGTTTCAACCTGCCTTGAACTTGTACGTAGACAGCATTCATCAACACGTTCCACTCGTCGCTAGAGGTCAAGTCTGCCTTAGTCCTGTCGAGCCAAGTTGTCGGTGCATGGGAGCCTTCTCCTTGCATTTATTTTCGCACGACTTCAATATGTGGATACGTACGCCCATTGGTGCGTTTTGACCAATCCCCAATGGCGACCTTTGGCAACAGCAAATTGCCCTTTCTCTTTGTTAACGTTTCCCGTTAGTTGGTCCTTGATAAAATGGTGGCGCTAGCAGCCACCAATACAAGCGTTATCACTCGTGCGGCAATTGCTCATCATGTCCAGATCGAAGTACTCCACTGGATGCCACCTGAGGATCGCTTGCGCTTTGTCCAGAAATAAAAAAAGGACCGAGTTCAACAAAACTGACAGCTGTGAACTAATCATTTAATACTCGAAAATTCATTACTGCTCCTAAGCTCTAGTTCTACGTATGGTGCAAGTCACCTAAAGACTACAAAGAAATGCCTTGACTTTCGACAGCTATTCCAACTTTGTATTGATATTATTTAGGAAAATATACCGTAATAACGATAGAACTGGACAAGCCCAACAGAAGTTACGGTTCAGATTTTCGATTGGTGAAAAATTGATCGAGTAATAGAATTTAAACCAACCGGCCTTTTTGGCCGAAAAGGAGTATCAAGTATATCTTGCTTGGTCTTTGTATACAGCACTTATCCGTACGAACGTTTTCATTGTATCCGGATTATTAACAATGTTTAACCTAATTACCAGGTAAAAAACGTAACTAATAATGATTTAACGTCAACATTTCGTGGGTTTAACTGAAAGAACCGAGGCGTTTAATAGTAAAACGTCTCCTCCTGAGGATGGCCGAAATCGGTAGTCTTTAGATGACTTGCACCATAGTATACCACTCTACTGGTAGTGTTTTGAAGCATCATTTCAATATGGCAGGCAGCAGCACCATTCACACGGAGCGCTTGGACGAGAATGCTGCAGTTGCCAGTTCCGTTGATGTAGCTACAGACTTGTCGTCGCGATCGTTGATATCTTGTGCGATCGAAGTGCTGACGACGAGCTGCGCCTTTGCCAAAGCCTCGAAAACTCATGCGTTTGCAACTGCGTGGCAGTCGGGCGAGATGACCGTCATCATGGGGCCTCTCGACGACCTCGGCAGCGTTCCAGATGCGCCGTCCCGTCCAGACTATGTGCGCATTGTGGGCAAGAAGGAAAAAGTAAAGCAGGGCAACCGGAAAGCCTTCGCCCACAGGTACCCAGACTGACACTGTCAGCATCATCGAGCCAGTATCCCCATTCGATTCGTAGCGTGGCCCACGCAGAAAGCTACGCGATCGACTTGATGTGGGACATGATCTGCCGGTTTGGCCCGTCCAACGACATGCCTCGATCTTTTTACGACGACTTTGTTCGGATTGCGTTAGAAGAGTCGCAGCACTTCACGAGCTGGGCCACGCGGTTACTTGATTTTGACTCGTTCTACGGCGACTTGCCCGGTCACGATGGGCTCTGGGACAGCGCCGCGGACACGGCAGACGACGTCCTCGCCCGCCTGGCGCTCGTGCATCTCGTGCACGAAGCGCGGGGACTCGACACGTATCCGATGGCTGTGGCTCGATTCACCAAGTGCCGCGACGACACGACTTTGACGTTTATGGCCAAGAACCACGCTGAAGAAGTCACCCACGGTAGGCTACCAACGGGCTTTTTCGATTGGTCGGTGGGCCATGACGAGGGGGATGCTGATTGTGGTGTCTGACGTGTGTAGTGGAAGCGGGGGTGCGCTGGTTCAGCTACATATGTGCATTGAAAGACCAGCCAGTGCTGCCGACGTTTCACAGACTCGTGCGAACGCATTACAGAGGACACCTCCTGCCCCCGTTCAATACACCAGCGCGAGATCGAGCTGGCATGACCGAAGCATGGTACCTACCACTGACCACCGAGACTCCTTTCGACGACGCACAAACACAAGGGTTGTTGCAATCGTAGTTGGGGTACTTATCAGCGTGTTATTGGCAGTCGTACATTTCATGGTGAACAATCCAAGATTGTCGTACACAGTGAGTGGCTAGAACCAGACTAGGGGAATCGCTGGTGCAATTGTTTTGTGCATATCTCACAAGATATTCATTTCTACACCTCACATCCAAAGAACGTTTTTTATATGGCGTTTACACTTGTTAGTTATGAGCACATGTAGGTGGCATCCGACATCAAACCGACAAATTTGGAGCCGATAATTGGATAACCGACAACTTTTTGAATTTTGATTGGTCAGATATTTTATAGGCAATCTGATTGGGCGATGTAGTTGTCGGTTGAGCATAATACGGTTTTTACACGACCGGCATCCGGTTATAAGGTTTCGTGCACGACGAGCGTCGGGCAAATTCCGTTTCCATCGAGAAATTATGAACCCATAAATACAAATATCAAGATATTTGAATTTGACGTGGTATAAATCGAATTTGCACGACGCCCGTCAGGCTGTAAGCTAAGCATTTCTATTGGCTATAATGTGCAAAACCACAAAGGTGGTCAAACTCCATCCAGCCACGACAATTTGGAGATAGAAATGCCATGCGACTGATGGAACTTGTTTCAGTAACGTGA